ACACAACAACACGACGAAGGGGTTTTAGTTTTGAGTGTTTCATCCTATACCTCCAAGATCCCATCCTGCACTTTCAAAAATTTTACTTTTATCTTTCTGACATCTCATCATTATCCTACACTTTTAACTTTATAAAAAAATTTATTTTTAATTTTAATAAATATATTTTTATTTTATTTTCTTTTTCTTGTTAAAAAACTCTACCCCACCTTAATAATAATTAAATTTAAAATTCTAATATTATTTAATATAATTTTATATTTTAATAATTATTAAAATATAATTTATATTATAATAATAGTTATATTAAAAATATAAAAATAAAATAATTAAAATAAAAATAATAACAATAAAAATAAAATTATATTAAATAAAATACTTAATATATTTAAATATATTAAATTATATTAAAATATTAAATTAAATTAAATAATTATTAAAATTTAAATAAAAAACAAAATTTTAAAACAATTATTTATCAAATAAAAAATAAAATGATATTAAATAAAATATTTAAATATATTAAATTATATTAAAATATTAAATTAAATTAAATAATTATTAAAATTTAAATAATAAACAAAATTTTAAAACAATTATTTATCAAATAACAAATAAAATTATATTAAATAAAATATTTAAATATATTAAATTATATTAAAATATTAAATTAAATTAAATAATTATTAAAATTTATATATAAAATAAAACTTTAAAAACCATTATTTATCGGATACGTCGCATATCCATATCCGATTAACAAATTTTGTTTTTTTAAAATTTTAATAATTATTAAATTTAATTTAATATTTTAATATAATTTAATATATTAAATACATTAAATATAATTTTAAGTATTATTTTTATTTTCATTTTTATTTTTATTTTAGTTATTATTTTTTCAATTTTCTTAATAAAATTATTTTAAAAATATAAATTATATTTTATTAATTATTAAAATATAAAAATATAATAAATAATATTATAATTTTTATTTAAGTTTAATATTTATTAAATTTTAAATAAAAAGCAAAAGGGTTAACATATTTTTATAGATTTTAATATATAAATAAGTTTTTTAAAATTTTTATTTTTATTTAAAATTTAATAATTATTTAATTTATTTTAATATTTTATTATAATTTAATATATTTGAATATATTAAATCAAATTTATTATTATTATTTATTATTATTATTATTATTTTTATTTTATTTTTATGTTTTTAATATAACTATTATTATAATATAAATTATATTTTAATAATTATTAAAATACAAAATTATTTTAAATAATATTTAAATTTTAAATTAAATTAAATTAAATTATTATTAAAATAGTGAAGATTGTTTTTAATAAAAAAGAAAAGAAAATGAAAAATATTTATTAAAGTTAAAAATAAAGTTTTGAAAAAATTGGAAGTACAGGATGAGATACGAAAAAATTAAATGTGGAATTTTTGAAGGTGTAGGATGAGTTGAAAATGTAGAATGAAATACTCCGTTTAGTATCTAAACAATTTGCATTTATATTTTTATAATTTAAATTTCAATTAAAATAAATATATAAAATATAGACGTAAATTTCTTTTTTTATTAAACATTGACATAGAGACTTGTATCAGACCCGTGAGTAGACAGACGGACACTTTTTTGTCAGTTTCGATTTGTTGTCATCTTTTCCATTACTTTTTTATGTTTTTTTTATTTTTCACATGCTAATAATAATAAATAAGTAAAAACAATTAAAAGAATATTATTTTAATAAGCGATAATATTGATAATAAAAATAATAATATACAAAAAACGAAATTTGATGTTAATAATTTATCATATAATTTTGAATGTTAGTTTTATTTTATTTATTTTTACTTTTTTAGTTAATCGATTTTATTTCTTATATAATGGTATAAATATTTATTTATTATAGTGATATATATTGGCGAGAAAATACAAAACTGTAATTAAAGTCTTAATTATATGTTTAAATCAATAATTATATTATGAGATGACTAAACCTTAAACTAATTAAAACATACTTATTACTGTACCAAGTTGACCAGAGTGCCTCTTTAAATACTTATTCTCTCTCTCTCTCTTATTGAACAAAGACGATTCAGACACTGAAAACTAAGGACAGGACCGAGTTATGGGAAGAAAAATCGAAGTGGCATCATCTTGTAAAAATCATCTTAATTTTATACAAATAACATTAAATAAAGAGCATGTCAAATAACAAAGGATCAAAAGACAGTAAGTATCAAATCAAAATTTCCTATCAAATTTACTGATTTTTTGTTTATTTCATAAACATATTTCTTCCATGTAATTCTTTAATTAATATAGATTAAATGTTTTTAAGAGATTAAAATTTGTTGTGAAATTAAAATTCATTTTCTATAGAATTTTGATACATTTTAATATTTAAATTTTAAAAATAATGAATATAGATTTTTTAATTTAATTATGTTTTCAAATTAATGAAAAATAGTGTAAAATAGTGTTTATACATTAATTTTTTTTAACGTAATTAGATTGTAATTAGATTGAAATGATTATATCTATTTATTTTCAAAATTTAAAAATTAAAAGATGTTAAAATTTAAAAAAAAATTATTAAAATTTAAAAACTAAAAATATATTAATCTTTTAATTTATCATTATACACTCTAATACAACATTTGCATACTACAATAGTTACTAGAATAAAAACAGTGGCCAAATTAATATTAACTTGTTAACAAATAAAAATAAATAAATAGAAATTGATGTTTGATTCCATTAAAATTGACGTAACATTTAAAATCGGGAAAAATGTGGAGTTTTTTTTTTATTTAATTTTAGTGGAACATGTTATCTTACTAAAAGTTTCATAGTTTGAATATATAAACAATGTTGTATAGTTGAGCATATAACCATTTTTATTTCCCGTCTTAATCTCATCAAGTGTGTCTTATAAACATTCACCAAAATTATAAGAAGCAATTTTTTACCCTATTCATTTTATGTATATATTTGAATATCGATAAAATCATTTATATTATATATCATGATTTTTCATTTTCATTCAATTAATTTTTTTACAATATAACTTGAGCAATAAAATAAAAGTGGTTTAATATTTGAGATTTTTTGTATGAAAAAGTTGTAAACGTAGTAGGTAGCGGTGAAGTATATAGATGATTCATTGTTTTTGTTTGTTTGAGAGAAAAAGGTAAAGAGAAAAATGCAGTAAGGTGGGTGTCACGTAGCCTTAATCACTTTGTTTCCCTATTGAGTTTGAACTAAAGTTGCTTAAGAAAAGGTATAAAGCAGGTCAATGACAGCTACAATCTCAGATCCTCACTCTTCAAACGATTATGTATAAAACCTCTTGCACCATCATCACCGTACATTTACTTTGCACAATTTCATCTATTTTCTCCTTAAAGAATCTTGAAGAATTATATATATAAAAAAAGAAAACTCTATTTCTTCCCTACTTGTTTTTTTCTATGCAAATAATATATTTTTTTATCCTTATTTCAGTCTTAATTAAAGGAAGTATAAAGGTCTCTATCAGCTGCAGAAGGCATCTAAATTTAAAATGAAGGGAGGAAAATTCAAATGGCTCTCATCACACATCATGTAAGACATTACAACAATATATCTACCTAAGTGAAAGATTTGATTTTTAAAAGAAAATGATGTAATTAGAAATTAAGCAACGGAGGAAGTTAAAAGTCTACTATGGGCCATCCACTCCAATCCTACTTTAACACATCATATATTGTACTGTGCAAATGAAGATTGAAAAAGTAATGCTTTTGTCCAATATTTTCCCACAATTGTACGTTTCACGCTACAAATTTACTTATTCTCATGGTTTTCTCATTCACTCAACGCAAACATCTTCTCTCATATTAAACCCCAAATCTCATGTAAGATCTTACTTCACTTTCTTAACTACTCATTTTCATTCTCATGTCAGATCGCTCTGCCGAGCTTTACATGAAACATACGTAAGAGAAACAGGAAATGTATGATTATGGCAAGGTTTGAAAATTTTATTTAAAACCGATTTCTGACTAAGGAGGAAAATTTTAATTATTTGAGTAGTTTTTTTTTAATTTTATTTATTAAAATAAACACTTTGTGGTTTCATAATTTGAATTATAACTTAAATAATTATGCAGTGAGCTCATTGAGCAGACTCTGTTGTCAGTCTAAAGCAAATAGTTATATGTTGGATGTGACACACAAAGTTATAAGAATAATTACCTTCGTTGATCATGCTGGCCGAAAGTAGCGTCACAAAAATTTCAGGCTCAAGAGTTGTTGATTGCTGGTGGCCGAATGAGTTGTTTTGAGGTCTGGTTTTGAAATGGATGTTATCACAGGTGCGATTTCCCCCTCCTAACATTGAAATCGTTTGTCACAAACGAATTTAGGAGCAAATAAAATATCCACAAAAAAACTCGGTTTTTTTCTGCCCCTAAGCATAATCGAGAAACCAGATACAGTGAATTAAGTTATAACTGACCAGATATATTAAAAAAACTCATATTTAACAAAACTATCGTAAAAATTATGTGTTTATTTGCTAAGATGACAAAATAGGTCAACAGCAGAATAAATACACTATGAAAAAGCTTTATAATTTTATTATTTTTTATTTTATATACATATTAAAAATGTATTATTTTTTTAATTTATAATTAATTAATTAATATCTCATCAAATAAATTTAAAAATCATTATTTTTATACATCAAATTCTTTCTTTATAACTAATAGCTAACAATTAGTTCACAATATCTGTAATCTTAAGATGACATAATAAAAAAAAATCAATTTTTCAAAATAATTTTTATTTTCAACTGAAAAAAAAAAGGGTCAGCGGCCACTCCATCTTTGACTCACCAGGTTATCAGTACAGACCAAAGCAGTGAACCCAACCTGCCAATGGCCTTTAAATTTTTGCATCCTGTAAAACTATATGTTGGTGGCTAAAGACAAGTACTGAGATGAATACCTGGAGAATATATATATATATATACCAAAATTTTGGGGACCTGAAAGCCGACCACTTGGGAATATATAGTGCAAGTGAAACAAATACGTGCCCCAAACTATCTTAATTTCAATCGACCAAAACAGGGCATGGGAATGTGATGAATTGAAATTCTGTATTCTCTAATTTAAACTGCACTGGTTAGAAGCTCAGTTCTCGTACTATCGGTTCTAGAATCAACATCGTTAGCTTTACCATCAGGTTTGGATGCTATAGCACCAGCAGTAGTCAATGGGGTATTACTCAAAGATATTAATTTATCCATTTTTTTCTTACTAGAAGACGATTCAGTGCCAGTCAGAATTTGTCTTAGTTGTGACTGCTGACAAACAATGCGACCTTTGTTCCATTCAGGGAAAGTAAAGGATGATGATGGGATATTATCCTGCAAGAATGACATGGCAGCCTTTGCGATAGGGAAATCTTGGGCATCTGTGGTTTTCTCCATCTCACCCCGACTGATTAAATGGAAAACAAAACATATCAACGTTAGAAGAGCTAACCGTTAACCTAAACTCCATGTACCGGATATAGCACCTTTTTTCTGATAAAAAAAGCTTAACTCGTGTGCGGTGCAGATAATAAGTTATTAGAGACGAGCAACTTACACAACAACAACAGTTGCAATCACAGGAAGATGCTCGCTATTCAAGAACATTTCCTGTATATTGTTCAGCCAAACTGATAGTGCTGTTAATGCAGCACCTTCTGACATTCTGCAAGAAAATAAAGTCTTAGATTTTACACAATCCGTTGAATATAAAAATGCATAAAACCTAAATTTTGGAGGCTAAGAAAAATGTAGTTCTCAACTTTCAATTTCAATTACTGTCTCTTGAAAATTGAGAAAGGCTTTAATGGTTACATTTACCTGTCCTGTTATCGTTTCAACTGCATTATCATTCTCACGCTTAAATTCCATAAACTAACAATTTGTCCGTTGGTAATTTAGAAAAAAATCATAATTAAGTACTGAAATCTCCAAAAGTTAACAATTCTACATGAACATAAATTAGCAATGGAGACCTCAGAAACTATAATGGCTAATTGCAGAATCGCTTGAATTGAAAGCTGAGGGCAATGCCTCAACGCTGGGGGGGGGGGGGGTTGTATGTTTTCATTTATTAAATAACAAATGTTTAAAAAGAATTTATTGCCACTATACCTGTGTACGTCCACAGACCATACAAGTTTACTTTTACGAAAAAGTTCAGGGAACAGCCCTCGCTTTGATGCTTCATCGAGCACTCTAGCAGCCCTTTCTCGCTGGAACATCCACCAAAGAGCTTCTAACAGTGCATTGTAGAACCTCACCCCCAACCCACATCCTTCGGAACTGAGCTTGTCAAAGACGTATTCCACAATCTGCCAATTAGACTCGTCGTCAAAATCTCCCTTGATCATCTGTCCAATTACTTGATGAATATCCGACGCCCTTATTTTGATCATCTCATCAATTAAATTATAGGCATCATTTAATCTGAGTCCAAAAAATTAAAAAGGTAAGCTAAAATATATTAGAAATAAAATGCAATTAATAGGTGATAAAAGTCAAATCAAAGCTTTAGAGTTTGGACTTTACTTGGTACAAGAAGAGATAGAAAATCGCAAAAGCAAATAAATAAAAAAGAATTTCCCCCATTTAACATAAAGTGAGAAAGAGTATTATCTAATAAACACACAAATGTCCTGGAAGTTGTTGAAAGTTCCATCATATCATTTATGTTTAGTTGGACTTGGAAATATGATTCATATCCATATTTAGTTTTACATCCTTATTTATTTGTTTTCGTTACTTACTAGGGTAGCCTGTGACCTAGTATGGATACGGAAATGCTGGTGTGGGTAAAATGGCTCGGCTAGGATTCATCCCATGATCAAGTTGTCCTCAAAAGTAATTTGGTGCCACTGTGTAAGGCTCTTAGGCAATTTTATATTTTAAATTGCCAAAACAAATTCTTGCGAACTCACTCACATTACTAGGACAACATTACTCACAAAGGGTATGCTTGAAAGTAGTTTTACCGAGCTTATCTTACGCATAATCACTTTGTAGGCTTTTGGTTAAGCTTATAAAAAGTGCTTAAAACTCCCATAAGTTTTTTTATTTCATTTCAACACTCTTTACCCTGAAGGTGTGAAGTCTAGTAGTAAATAAGTGCCTAATTGAGTTTTTTACTGGAGATACCCTAAGACGACTTCAGTGATGCAAATAACATGTATGACTTGAAAGCTTGAATTCAAAACCATATTTTTCCGTGAAGTCCTCCCGAATCATCATTTTAAGGGGACCAGCTGCCATAATTTAATTTCAAAATTGCCTATTGGGAAGTCACATCATCTATATGAAGCAAAATAAAATTCATACAATTAACACCAAATGCGTGAAATTGCCTACCAAAAAGGCATAAAATATAGAGATGACAAGTAATGTATTTTATTGATTTATAACAATCTGACAGTGACAGTTAGACTTGTCTAGCAGCGACACTTATAACTGTTCATCGGTTATAACTTGACTTAAAAATGTGCATAACTAATAAAACAGTAGATACAGTTATTAAAAGAGTTATTCACTCACATGGGTTGAAGGACAATGAAAGAAATGCGGCTTATAAACAAGAACAGGGGTTAAGAAGGAGATTTCATCTTGTGATTTGGGAAGATTCATTATGCTGTGGGTATTGTCAAAAATGGAAGCAAGAATGGCATTGTTGGAAGCAAGAAAGGAGATCCCTCTGTTCTCTGGAGAACACCTATGGGTGGGTCCACCAGAATGTAAAGATATTTGATATTTTAAGTTGAAGTAGACATGGAAGCGAGTGCAGCAGGTGGAAGCAGCCACAGAGGGGCACACTTTGACTTGGTTGTAACTTTCAAAATTCTAGACCTGCAAGTCAAAATGGGCAGCATTCAAGATTGCTTAAATAAGGAGGTTTCAACCATCCAGGATCCAGAACCCTGATGAAATCTGTTGGATCTGAGGCAAGACGTCTCCCAACAAGAATACAAGGAACAATTCAAGATAGGTTTGACCAAGTAAGACATGAGGACAGGGTTGAAACTGCCCTCTAATGGATCACTATCAGCAGCAATGAACTTAGTGCAACTCATACCTGAAGGATCTTTGTTGCGAGAAGATTAAAGGAAGATGATTCCTGAAGGAAGGAGGAGGTAACAAACTAGAAACAAATGGGAGAGGCTAATGGGCCAATCAGTGGAGACGAATGGAAGGGAAAACAATCCAAGTGGATGGCCACATAAACAAGCAGAGGTCGGAAGGACAAGTGACTGCCGTGGAGAGGGTTATGGGTTTTATTATCAATCAATCGTCATTGATAGAATAGCCACAACATTTGGGTTCTTACTAGAGCCAGGACAGAGGTGGATCATCAACAATGGTTAAATTATGGAACTGCTTGGTTAAGCTTGCCCCACCCAGAACCATCATCCCTTGATGTTCAGATGGTGGCTAATTATATGTTGGAGTTAGAGGCACCAATGAAAATGAGTATTGTTCCTGAATTCCAGAACTGCAACAAGCATAGGGAAAAGTCAACATGCAGAGATGACGTGGGACTACCGGACCCAACTCAAATGTAGATCAGTCTAACTGCCAAAGGAAAGGGAGGCCAAGGTCTGAATCATCAAATTAGAAACATTGCAGGTGAGATATAAGGGCTATTCAATCTGTTTACCTAATGGATCAGTCAAAGACTGCTAAAGCAAAATTCTTCCCCACAACTGATGGAATAGTCCCAATGAGAAGAGACAGGAAATGGGTCTTAGAGATGGAGGAAAAGAGAAATTGTTAAAGGCTAATTTTTCTTATCAAACAACTGTACCCAACAAAAGAGAGGATGACAGCAAAGTTTCAGAAGCATTAACACTAGGTTTCAAGGCCAAAAAGAGAGCAGAAGACAGAGCACCTGAAGAGAACAAGCACACTTACAAATTAGAGTTTGACCCTGGAGAAATAGACCCGTTTTCAGTATTTTGGGACAAAAATGATTGAATGAACATACTTGCGTATTTGTGTTTGATCAAGATCAAAGTTATTTTAGGACTACAGAATTGTGGTTGGCATGGTCATCAAGCTTCCAATGGCTGGAGCCCGATAGCAACTTTAGGAGGGTGAAGAGAGTATTCACAAGTAATCCCCATAGTTAATTAGTAGAATAATTGGTTAGTTAGTTGGGTTGGGGGACAGGTGAATTAGAGAAATAAGGAAAGTTGTTTACAAATAAGTAAAGGTGTTGAGAGGGAGATTTTATCATCTGATTTGATAGAGAAAATTCAGATTACTATGGGAGAGTCCAAGCCTCTCGAATGTCCTGCAATAATCTCTACTCTTTTCTGTCAATGGAAACTTTTCCTCCTATAATGCTGGTCAACTTTGGAAGTTTCTATCAGAAGAGATGCAAACTGTCGCCAAAAATCTAAAAGGATTGTTGGAAAATAAATTAATCATGTTAGAAAATTGTATGGAATAGAACCTCAAGACTTATTCATAATTTAGCGAAGGTTAAGACTATCCAACTGTGTGATTTCGTGTTAGTTGCATCTGGTATTGGTCTCATGGGCTTATTTAATATTCCTATATTCAGAAAAAGAGAAAAAGGAGCCACACCTTAACGCTCTGATAATGAGCCACACCTTAACCTTATTCCAATTCCACAAACAAATAACATAATGTACTGGAATTAGAATCATCACAACTCAACTGTTATTTTGTCCAAAATATTGAATTCAACTATTTACACAATCCTATAAGTGTAGCATGCTTGAGATCATCGATTGGTATTTGTAACCACCAAATCATTATAACTTCAACCTCAGATCAGAAAGTAGCACAGCTAAAATAATAGAAAAAAAAACACAGCAATATTACCAAAAGAAATCTGACCTGTCATTCTTTGCATAAAGAGCTAGCATCATGCAGTAGCACATGACACTGGGCAGTAATCCTGAAGCTTTGATTTCTTGGAACTGCTCCTCACTCTCGTCAACAAGCCCAGCAGTGCAGTATACACTTAACACAGCTTCAAGTGTCAGCTCATTAGGTTCACAATTTGCTTTTTCCATTTCAACATGAGCTTTTACAGCCTCTTCATACTGACCTGCTTGCCTAAAAGCTTCAATCAGGCCGTTGAATGAATGCGCATCCCGTTTTAAACCTGATTCGTTCAACCAGGATAAAACTGCTTCCGCTTCTTTGTACAATCCCCCCCTTGCATATGCATGAACAAACGAATTATAGGTCTCAAGGTTTGGGTTGCTTCCAACTTCTTTCATAGTGTTAAATGCAACAAGAGCCTCTTCATACAGTGCAGCCTGCCCAAATGCTTCAATCACCCCAGTGTAAGCCTTGGAAGTCGGCACTATTCCTTTCTCATTCATATGAAGTAAAATTTTCTTGGCATCTTCATAAAGTCCACCCTTCCCACAAGCAAATATCAAGCCCTCGTAAGTCTCCATGTTGGGCTCAATATTTTCCTCCACCATGTCATGAAATAAAGTGACCACCTCCTTGAAGTACCCTCCCTCCCCAAAGACCTGTATGAGAATATTATAGGTACCCACATCAGGATCCGTGTTACTTACTTTCATCTCAAGAAAAAGTTCACGGACATCATCATACCTCCCATGCTTCCCATACAAATTCAATAATATACTATACGTGGCCGCATTCGGCACACACCCTGCAGCCTGCATCTGCCTAAACACGCCCATCGCCTCTTTGATAGATCCTAATTCAGCATAAGCCTGTAATAACACATTATAAGAAGTAATATCCGGCAAATTACCCCCAGATTCCATCTCCCTGAGAAGATCCGAAACCTTCTCTAACCTATTCAACTTCCCAAACGTCTGAACAAGATAACTATAAGTATTAATATCTGGAACTATTCCACTTTCATTCATGGTCCTAAACACCATTTCAGCCTCATCACCCAACCCTCTATTAGCACAAGCACAAAGCAAAGTATTATAAGTGATAACATCAGGTTGAATCCCTTCATGTCTCATTTCAGCAAACAATCCTAACAACCCCTCCCAATCCAGCCCACCCCTAGCACAAGCATTAATCACAGTGTTGTAAGTTAAAATACTCGGCGAAACCCTCTCCTGCTTCATTGCATCGAGGAGTTCGAGCGAGGCCTGGAACTGGCCGTTACGGCCATAGGCGTTGATGATGGCGGTGTAAGCGTAGACGGTGCGAGCGACGCCATTGCTTGGCATTTCGTCGAACACCTCACGACACTTGTCTAGCAAGCTTTCGCGGCCCAAGAGCGTTATCATGATGGTGTATATGTGCTCGTTGGGCTTACACCACAACTGGCGCTGCATGTACTTGAAGAGACGCAGCGAGCGTTGCCAATCGCCGCGCTGCGCGAATTCCTTGAACACGAGGGCGAAGTCGTTGAGGGAGAGCTTGTTTTTGAAGGGGTCGAGGCACCGCGCAATGCTCCCACGAGGCGGCAGCGCGGTGAGGCGGTTGATTAGGGTTTCCACATCGTAGCTGTACTTTCCCTTCTCCACCGTCAAGGAGGGATTTATGGGGATGAGCTCCTTGAACTTGGTGGCGCGTGATTGGAACTGGAAAAGGCGTTTGGGGGAAGTTGCGAATAATAGTTGGCGGAGGGTGGCGGTTGGGTTGAGGAGCGCGGGAGAGAAAGGTGAAGGGCTGGGCACAGAGAGAGGAGGTGAAAGGGAAAGGGTCATTTTCTGCGACGCGGTCGTTGAACTTAGTTGGGAAAACAGTTACGTGGCGGCGTGTTCATGTCGACGAGAGCTGTGCTAGAATGGAAAATGGAGGTGGAAGAAGTTGGAGAGAGGAGACTGAGGTTGACGATGGTAACAGAATTGAGGAAACGCCACGTGGTGCTCTTTGTGGATAACGGTCAGGGATGGTAAAAATGGGAAGTGATCGGGTTATTTGACCCGATAAGCCCAAATGTATCTGGCGGTGGAGCCCCTGGACAACGGTTCAAATACAATCGGATCCTTTTACCCGGGGCAATTGGCGGTAACGGATTTTCAAACGACCTTCAAGCGGGAGAAATGTACGTAAGCTTCCTGCGTTTGGCATACGCTATGCTTTGCTGTGTACATTTAATTAAATTAAATGTAATTAATATTTATATTTATATAATACGCAATATGTATATAATTGAATACTTGAAAAAAATACCTAAAGGGTGATGAAAGTCTAGTAAACAGGTAATGAAAATTGTTTATACGCATCACAGTAGATAGAATAAGGCTGAATAATGTTTAAGATTGAAGTTAAAAACACGTTAAGACTTCACTGTTTAATTAAGTACATTTTGATGTATAGAATAATTATCTATAAAAGTTATAAAATAAACTTTACCAAATATATATGATTTGTTTTAAATAAGTTAACATAATTTAACATATCAACGAATTCATACATCAGAACTAATAATATTAGCAAAAGAACAAAATTCATTAATAATTTCGAAAATAGTAAGTACAAAAAGACCTTGATCAAAATATCTTCTTTTCACAAAAATATTATCATTTTTTTTATAACAATCTTGTCAAATTCAAATGACAATTTAACCCAATTTTTTACCAATAATGTTACAGATATTAAATTAACTATAATAAAAAACACATGTAATACACCTCTCAAAGACAAAGTCTTCCCATTCGAGAGCTTTAGAATAACCTTTTTTTCTTAGGACAAGAGTTGTCCTAGAATCATTAAAATAAATGTGTTATTCTCCATCTCTACACTACTATAGGAGGTAAAAGCATTTTTGTTTGCACAAATGTTTTTGGTAGCACTAGAGTTTACTACTCACTTGCTCACATTGGTAAACAAATTTATTTATGAAACTATCACAACAACAATATATCCCCCTTAATCTATATTTGCCTTAGGAGGATTGTCATTTTTTGCTCTATACCCGCACTATGGTACATGATAGTATGAATTTCCATATACAAAGCAATTTCCCTCGTTCTTAAAGGTGGGGTTAGATCCATTAGAAAGGGAAATTCAAAAATTGTTTTCCTTTTTGTGACCAGGTTTGTTTTTGTATCTTTTTGAAGCAGATTTGTTTTATATTATATATGCTTTCACGGATAAAGCTTTAGCTACTGTAGTAACACATTCCTTCTTGGTATCTTTAATGATAATATGTGTAATAAGTTTTGGAAATGATATTTGCTTATGTTTGTGTTTTAGTTATTGTTTGTAATTAGTCAAGGATGACGACAATTTCTCGATTATAAGTTCTAAAAGAAACTCATTTGGTAGAATTATGGTTTCTACTTTGACATCTTCAAGCAACTTATGATACTCATTGATTTAAGTCTTTATGTTCTTATACTCATTAGTATCCCAACAGTAGTAGTTCCCTATGACGAATCTTTGTCTAACGACATATTCGACAGTATATTTGAGAACAAATCACGAATATCTTTCGCTTCCTTATTAGAACAATACAATCGAACAAGTCATTAGACAATGTACTAAGTAAAGTGTGTCAACATACCTTGTTCGCATGAATCCAATCTTCAACTTGTTTTGAAAGGATACTGGAGTCGGGTTTTGAAGATGAGAGAGTAGTAACAACTCCACACATGTCTAATAGGATAGACACACATTATTGTCTGCGCCAAAAGTCCTGTCTAGAAAAGACCTCAATTTTTGACACATCCGGGAACAGTTTTACAAAGATCGTGAGTTCCGAAAACAATGTTTTTATTATCTGGATTTGTGTTGTTGATGTGAGCCACAAGTCGTTAAGATTGTTGTAAATGTTGACAAAAATACAAACAAAACTTGATTAATGAGATACGGATTTCACCATCTTTAAAGACTTGTCTTCAATGTATTGCACAAGTTTTCTAAAATACAAAAGGAACTTCTCGAATTTTCTGAGATTCTCACACTCTAACCAGATAAACTCTTTTTAGAGAGTAAATTTACTCGTGATAATAAAAAGAAGACAAGAAAATCAAAGAGATATAAAAAGGAAAGATAAAAAAAATGTAATTGAGTGATTTTGGAGAGAACATTAAGCATCTATAGATGGTCAAGTGATTTATAATTGGTAAAAAATTTCTACCTATACTGAAGAAAAATCAACATCAACTCATTGTTCACAATCATCACAACATGTGGAAGAAGGAAAAAAAAATCTAGGAACAATTGAAACAAGGGTGAAGCAAAGGTTTTAAAATTAGCAACGTAGCTTTTGCGATTAGCGCTTTATTTTATAAGACTTTCATGGCATGATCTTGATCAATCATAACAATATTTGGGTTACGCTTCTCATTGTTTTGAATTTTTTTTTCTTTCAAACAACCAAATAAGATATTTAACTTTCCCATATGCCAAAAGCTGATCCAAATGTAACACATTCATTATGATGTTTTACTCTTAGCAAATGGTGCAAAAAGTATAGAATATTTATTTGTTGTATATGTAGTCAAATGAAATTACATTCATGAGCAACAAATACTTTGTTTTCTAGAAATACTATATCGAAAAAGTCAAGCTAATACATGTACCTCATGCAAAAATAAATGGAGGGATTCTAAAGTCATCATGCACATGCATAAGGATCTTTAATTTAAATCTTTTAAATAATTTTGTAGATCCTTTTGCTGCATCCAATATGTTGTGTTGTATTGAATCGGAAGATAACAAAGTACGGTAGAAAGGAACATTGTATTTGGAGGGTGGTATTTTTCAACTGAACGCAATGATCTTGGTGAGAAAGGATAAGTAAATTTTCATGAGTTAAGTTATAGTTTTAATGACTAAAAATATTTTAAATTTAACTTGATAATAAAAAATCAACTTAATAAAATAAAACTACCATCCACTTATATTATATATAATGAGTATCAATTAATTATCAATTTTATTCCTGTTAATATATTGTATTTTATTATTTATCTTGTAAATTTTGTAACTTAATATTTAAACTAAATTAAATATTTATAAAAAATATCAATAATAATATTATTTATTAATAGTTACTTTTTATCTATACACATGTCCATGTTTACACACACAACCTCTTATATATTTTAAAAAACGGTGAAAGATAACTTAAAATATGTTCCAACTAATAAATAATTAGAAAAAAATCCATCTTATTTATGATCTTTAATAATTATTTAATCAATTTATCCGTCACTATTTATCTATGTACCCATTTACTTAGATCATATCTTTAATATATGATAATTGATTTTTATTATAATAAAATATTATACACAGTCTATAACAGTTAACTATAATATTATATTTTTAGTTGTTTAACTGGTACCCGTCGTATTCTTTGTCCTATCTATCTTTTTTAAGTAGCTTTTCAGATAACGATTGAAAATATTTTTATCAATGCAATTATAAAAATTAATAAAAAAATGGCTTACTTTTTAAAACTACTTTTAATATATTTTGTTACAATTTTTAATGTTTAGATTTTATAATTGTTTTAACTGTAAGAAAAAATTTAATTTAATTTTTTAATACTTATTATCATAAAAATGTAAAAATGATTATTTTTTATAACTACTTTTTATATATTTAGTTAGGATTTTTAATGTTTATGTTCGATAATTATTTTTAATTGTAAGAAAAAGTTTAATTTGTTTTTTTAATGCAAACATGAAAATACTATGTTCTACTTATAATTATTATTTTTAAATTCTGTCAGTCTTTTTTTATGATTGAAAAAAAAAGGAAGAAGATGCAGAATATGTGATTTCGCCTATGATAATGTTCCCAATTTAGGTAAAAGGATTTTTCAAAAATATTTATTTTAAGAATCCAATAAGATAAAAGGTGGATTTTGCGTTGAAAGGAAACCTAAAAAGACGAAAACTAAAAACGTGGGCGTTTAAGGCTCTAGTAGTTACAGTTTGATGAAGCGGTCCACGTCACCATTCTGAGATGGAGGTGGTGGAGCAGAGTAGGGGCCCACTGTAGAAAATATATAACGGGGAGGCGAAGAGATCAACGGGCCCCGCTCCCGTGTTACGGTTTGTGATTGCGACATGGTGAGTGTAATGTTATTACGCGGAGGACAATCTTGTCATTTCGCTCTCACTTCCTAACAGACACACAGCTCCCACTGTGAAGAGGGGAAGAAAGAAAAACAGAAACAAACTCCTATCGCATCATCATTCACTTGTTTCCGTTGTTGTTGTTCCTGTTCTTCGGTTTGGTCTCAACTCAACCGAATCACCTAACACCCACTCCTGGATGCATTAGACAACAATGGAGGATTCCGAGGTATAGCTTACCCTTCTGTTGCTCCGCTCACCCTTTTCAACTGCTTCTCCCGCCGCCTACCGCGGTTTTGTCGTTTTCTGTTTTTTATTGTTCTCTTTTCTACGAGGAAAATCGGTTTGGTTTTATTGTTCTCTGGGTTCATGGTAATGGGGACGGTCGTTTGTGATTTATGGTGCGTTTGGTGTTTTGGGTTTTCATTGGGTGTTTTGTGTTTTTGATCAGAAATTGACGGCGTTGAAGAAGGCTTACGCCGATATCATCCTCAACACGGCGAAGGAGGCAGCGGCGCGAATCATGGTGTCGGAGCGTAAAGCCTCGCGCTTTCAGCAGGAACTTGTTTCTACCAAGGAAGAAGCACTTCGAATGCTGCTCAGGCTCAAACAAATGTTCGATTCTAAGGTTTGAAAATCACGCTCTTGCAAAGGGGTCTCCTTTTATAAAAAGATTCTTTCTTTGCCCTTTTACGCTTCGTTTTTGCTTTTTTTTGAAATTGGTGTGTTTGATTTGGAGTTTGTTACCCTACTCATGCTTCGTGATTGTGGTTTTGTGTGTATGGCTTTGTTCTCGATTAGTAATCAGTAATGTTTCGAGATTCCCGTTTCACTGTGTTAGTT